AAAAACAAAACAAGGCAAAAAGCAAAGGTGGACTGTCCTCCCTCCTGAGCAACGCCTGGGATGATCGCAGAGAGCCCTGGGGACGTTCTGATTTTGTTCTAAGGAGGAAAGGAATAAAGGACACCATAGGGGAAAGAGAAAAAGGAGACCCTTACTCTCCAGAGCCTCACATTTGCGATCTTCAGCAAGGCCTCCAGCTATCAGAGGCCACCACTTTTCTTTTTAAACAGCTTTCAACTCTGAAGAAAGCACTGAAGTCACGTCTAAGGTCAATGGAAGTATTTGCTCTAGGGAAATTTACATGGGGTGGGTGGAAGATGGTTCTATTTTCCAGGGTATCTTTTTAAAAAGGCTTGGTCATCAAAGTCACCTGCAAAGCCCTCTGACTTTTGAGCAAAGACAAGCAGTGTTTCTGGTCTGAAGTTTGATGGACAGGACATTGGCTTTACTTTAAACACATGCGGCGGCATGAAGGCTCTTCATGTGGGGTTTGCTCCCTCCATTCAAATCCAGGGTGTGCCCAGCGGTTCCTGCCTGCTTATAGCTCTCAGAGCACAGTCACCTTTTTAAACCAGACCTGATGTTCACAGATGTCTCCACTTTCCTGACTGGGAGAAAACACACTGTGAGTTACAACAGTCCATCTTAAGACATTGCGTTCAAGAACATTATTGATTCTGAAATATATTCTGGATTTCATGACCACGTTTAGGGCAAGGAACACAACCAGATTAAATTTATGCCTTGATTGTAAGATGTGTTTAGATTCCAGGAATGTTTAAATTTTAATCAAAATGCATTCTTTATTAAAAGAAGAAATCCAGTGATATTTGTCTCCATCTTCAGATGAGCAAGAAAAAGTTAAAAAGATTCAAAGATTCATCCAGAGCAACTTTAAAGACCCTCCATTCACTTCATTAGTGCATAGCACCACTCGCTACTCCTACAGGAGAACCAAAGTGTGTGTGGGTGTGGGTATGAACCTTCACCAGTAATGGCTCTGATGAAAAAGGGGAGGGGAAGTGCAAGGTGGTCCAAATGAGGTTGGGTGCCCACCTCTGAGGTACTGGAACTGGGGAGGAAAGCCCATGCAGATTTCCTGGAAACCTTATTTTTCAAATGAGAAATTTTCCCAAATGTGGACAGCATTTCTGTCTCCTCATGCCTATCATCCTCATGGATCTAGGGAAGCTGCTAGAGAGGGGCTGCCTAGGATCAAGGGACCGTTTACATTGATGGGAAGACCCAGCTTAAGGCACGATGCAGTAACAGGGGAAGAGAGATGAGCGTTCCACTTCTTCATCATTCATTCGTTCCTATTCACTGATTCATCAAATGGTTACTGCTGCCCATCAAGTACCATGTTCTCTGTGGGCTGCAGAGAAAATGGATCAATAAAACAGTCCCTGCCCTCAGGAACACACTTAGAAGCAAAAACATGTGGCTGCTCATTATCTATTAATTCAACACATACTTATTAAGCACTAAGTGCTAGAGAAATAGCAGGAAAGAAGTCAGACAAGTTCTGTTACAGAGTTTACAAACTCGTGGTGGAGAACGAAGAGACTAAACACACAATTAGACAAGTGATTAATTAATCACCAGTGTGATTACTATAAAGTATTACAGTGTGCCAGGAGAGTGGATTGTAAGGGACAGTGTTGGTGAATCAGCAGGACAACTGGAGAGAGTAGACCAGGAATAAAATGACAGCGGCAAAGGATGCCAGGGGCAATACCTAGGCCCAGTGTATGGTGGAAGGTCTCAGGTCAGAGGGAGGCGAGATCAACCTAGGGATTGGCCCTACCTAGAAGCTGTGCAGATGAGACAGCAGGAGAGAGAGAGCAAGCCATCTTTCTGGGAAGTGAGAAATGGCTGCACAAAAATAGGAGCTCTTGAGGCGATCCTTACTCCTTTGCTTTCTTGCTGATCAAGAGTATTTATTAAGGCAAGGTATGGTGGTAATCCTAGGTACTAAGAGGTGGAGATCAGATGGATTATGGTTCCAGGCCAGCCTATGCAAAAAGTTAGCAAGTCCCCCATTTTTCAGTTAATAAAAGCTGGGCATGGTGGCCCATGCCTGTCACCCCAGCTACATGGGAAGCATAAATAGGATTGCAGTCCAGGCTGTCCTGAAAATAAATGAAGGACCTTATTCAAGAAGTATCTACAGCAGCCAGGCCACACCAGTGGCTTCACGCCTGCAATCCGAGTTACTCGGAGGCTGAGATCAGGAGGATTGTGGTTGGAGGCCAGCCCAGACAAATAGAGAGACCCTATCTTGAAAATGCCTTACACAAAAAAGGGCTGGGGGAATGCCTCAAGTGTTAGACTGCCTGGCTAGCAAATGTGAGTTCAAATCCAGTACCAAAAAAAGAGAAAAATACCTACAGCAAAAAGGCCTGGGGGTGGTGGTGAATCAAGTGGTAGGAGCACCTGCCTGGCAAGTGCAAGGCCCTGAGTCCTGTCCCCAGTACTGCCAAAAAAAATTGTGCTATGCAAGAATGCCATCCTATTATCTTACCTGATGATGTATTATTGCTGTCACTACACTGCTGTGCAGGTCAGCACTCATCAGGATTTTGTGCCTTGCTCCAGATCAGAAGCTCCTGTGTGTTTGAGCAGTGATTTGGACCTGAATCTGCCACATTTCTTATCCATAATATTCTCTACTGCAGTCTTGGCCATGGGAAAGGGGACGGGGCTCTACAAATCACACCTCCGAGTTACACGCTCTGAAGTGTGAACCAGTCTCCATCACACTGGCAGTGAGTGCCAGAAGGGTCTCTGAGGAAGAGAGCTGTACCTGGCCTTGTTCCCAGAGAAGCACTCACTCTCCACTGCAGAGGCCATAGTGGACAGAATCTTCATCCACTGGATGTTCTAGAGGTTGGTGGACATCTTGGACCTGCTTAGAGAGACAGGCTCCCCCTGCTGGCCCAGTACTACTCAGGTAGGAGGCAGGTGGAAGGCGCACACAGGCCAGTGTGTCTTGGTGAGGAGAGCAAGCAAGGAAGCTCCAAAGAATCCACGTAATTTATAATTTAAGGGAGACTCAAGAGTCACATGTATCTCTGTAAAGACTCAGACAGGTATCAACGTAGACAGCAGGTTTAGCCAAATGAAACTGCAAAGTGGGCCCGAGTCAAGTGGTAGCAGGTGGCCAACAAATTTGAGACACCACACAGGAAGGTCAAACACTTAGGAACTTTTGGTCTTTATGTCCTTAACATCAGGCAAATACTGTATCACAGCCAAGAAGATCTCAACTCTTACCAACGAACTAAGCAAAAATCAGGTACAATGATGAGGCCAAAGTCTCAGTCTCCAGGGAAACAAGAACTCACTGCTGTGGGCCCGTGAATCAGTTCAGGGGTCCTGGGAAACCTGACCTGATAAGATGATGAATTCCTGTGCTCTATGTGCGCTGAGCTCACTCTCGGGGACAGATCTCAAGCAAACAGCTCAAGAGGAATAGCAATCAGTGAATGAAACTGTTTGTCTGCCCAGATGCCTGCAGCCCAGGTGCTGGCTACTCAAAGTCTGTGCTTGGAACAGTCTGTTGCCCTAGAGGGCAAAGCTTCTGGTCTGGACATAGAGTCAGGGAGATCAATCTACATCTGCCATTTACTAACTGTGTGACTTTTTTTTGTGTGCAGTTTGGGGGTTTGAACTCAGGGCCTACACCTTGAGCCACTCCACCGACCCTGTTTTTGTGATCCTCTTGATCTCTGCCTCCTCAGCAGCTAGGATTACAGGCATGAGCCACTGGCACCTGGGTCTAACCATGTGACTTCAAATAAATCACTCAATCTCTCTGAGCCTAAGTTGACTCCTGGATAAAACAGGAGTGAAAGACTGCTACCAGCAGGGGTTGTGTTAAAGGTGAGTGGTGGGGTGCTTGTCTGGCATTGCCCTGGGTTCTATCCCCAGCACCATAAAAATAAACAGAGGGCTGATAGAATGGCTCAAGTGGTAGAGCACCTGCCTAGTAAGCATGAGACCCTGAGTTCAATTCCCAGTACCGCCAAAAAACAAAACAAAACAAAACAAATAAAGAAAGAAGGTCATGTCAATAGTGCCCTGCATCAGTGTGACCAGGGTAGTTGTGATTGACAGATGATCCTGGAAAGATCCTGGAGAGACAGTTCCTGCTTGAAAAGCACAAGTAACATCAGAAGTCAGTCATTCTATATTGAAGAGGAAATGGTATTTTTGACTCCTAGTCAGAAAAAAAGAAAATAAACTTCTGTCACAACGATTGAGTCCACGAGAACACAAAGGGATGCCCTTCAAGGGGCTCTTGAGGCCCCACTCCCACCCCAAGGTGTGAACACTGGGGTGTCTCCAAGGGTTGAAATGCACATTTTTTGAGGAACATTCTGTGGCTGGGGTTTTAAATGTAATCTGTTTTGAGGGAGAAAGCAAACCTGCCCAGGGCGACAAATAACCGGGTAGGGCTGGTCTCTAGGCCGTGCTAACCACTGCCCCTTACTCCCCTCAGCTTCCCGGCTAGGCACAGGGCAGGCACCTGAAAGACTGCAAGTGCGAGGGGCGGATGGGTCGGAGGGGTGGCCGCAGGCCCCAATGCACACGGGTTGCGCTGGTCCTCGGGTTCCCACCCTTGGGCTCCAGGAGCCCCGGGTGCGCCCTGCTGCCGAGCCCACCTCCCGCCAGGAGGGGGCGCCGAGGAGAAGGCGGGTAGAAGGCCGCGGTTCTCGGAGCCACCTCCGGATCCGGAGTCGAGATCCGGGGGTCGAGACCAGGGCTGCAGGCCGTCTGCCCTACAGTTCTCAGTGTGGGTCGGGGACAACGGCCTGGCGACATTCCGGACACCGCTACAGACGCCCCGGCACAGGGCTGCCAGGCTGGTCCGCGCCTGCCCGGAAGCGCGGGAGCCGAGGGGGCGGGGCCGGGAAGCGCTTCCGGGGGCGGGGGGCGCGGGCAGGGGCGGCAGCCGGAGCGGCGGGGACGGGCCTGGCGCCGGCGGCGGCGGAGGGGGCGCCGCGGGCGGGCGATGTGAGCACGGCGCTCTGGGCAGGTGAGACGCGCCGGCCGGGGGCGGCGGGCAGCGGGTGAGGCGCGGGCGGAGCCGGCGAGGTCGGGGGCCGTCCTCGGGCCGCTGTCCGGCTCCCTCTGGGCGCGGCGGGGCGGGCGTCTCCGCGCCTGGTCAGTCTCGGGGCCGGCCGGCGGCTGGGTGGGCGGGCGGCGCCAGCCAGAGCCGAGGCCGGGCGGGGTCCGGAGGCCTGGGCACCTGCTTGGGCCCGGCGCGCGCCCCGAAGGGACCACTAGGGCTGGACTGCGGGGTCTGGGCGCCGCCGGCCGGGCCGAAGGTGGCTCTGAGGCAGCTGCTCAGGGCTCTCCAGCCTCCGCCCCGGGCGTCTCGGGATTCCCAGTTTCCGGGCCCCTCGCTCCCGGGCGCTCCCTGTTGTACCGGCGGGGGGTAGGGGGCTGAGGCCCCTGCAGAGCCAGGCCCGGCCGCGGGGTCGACTCCGCGGGTGTCTGTCCTGGAGCCGCTGCCTCATGCCACCGCCTTTCTCCAGGTAAACAGGCGGCGACGGCGCGTTATGCTTGGCCTGGGAGGTCTCCATGGTCACTCCCGCTCACTCGGGTCCTGCCATTACCGAGGGCGGGCTGGGCTGACCTGGGGTGTAAACAGTACCCTTCTAGGCCAAGTGGCGGGGCTTTAGGGCGGCACCAGCCAGGGACGCTCCGTCTTGAGACTTTCAGCAAGCTTTTTCCACATTGGGCCTCAGTTTCCCTATGTAAGAATTGCGAGTTCCGATTAGCACCCTTAAAGACCCTTCTGGCTCCACAGTGCTGGGTATGTCTGAAATTGGAAGGTCTGTCGTTGATTCCACATGCTCGGTAGTTTCACTGAAGACTTTTTGCAAATGTAGACTTTGTAGCCACTTACTGCACTTTGTTTCAGACAGGTTTAAAATGATTCCAAGAAGCTTTTCTAAACCTCACCTTACTCATCCTTCATCCCTTGCCCGTTGTCCCTCGTTTTAATCACATTCCTTGGAGCTCTTGCATGCAAACGTTTTGTTGTTTATATTTCCCATTTTCTCTTTGTTGCCTAGTCCAGGCCCTCTTTGCTTCACATCTGGATTATTGCAACAGCTTCTTAGCTGGTCTCTGACTCCAGAGGTTCTCCCCTCCCCCATCCTTTCTTTATGCTAACGCCAAACTTACTGTAGGAGGTCAAAAAATAGTTGAGTGCTTGCTTATTAAATGTCAAGATGCTGTTCTATGTGGTGGAGGAAAGTAGTTGAAGGTGCACGGTCTCCAAGCAGCCTTATACCATGGGCTGAGACATTACCTGTGGAAAGGTAATTTTGATACCACAGGCTGTGTGCTGAATTTAGAAGGAGAGAGAGGGGTTATTGTATACACATTGGTCAGGGAAGGCTTAGTGAGGGGGTGGGATTTGAGCTGGGTGTTAAAGGGTGAGTAGGGTTTTGATAGGAAAAGAGGAGTCAGCCCTGTGATCCTGTGGAGTTAGTGACTAGACCAACTTCCTGGCAGAGTAGAGCTCTTGAAGGAGGGAGAAAAGAAGAAAGATCTGTGGGGGCTGGTTCATGAAGAACTTGAACACCAGACCGAAGTTGAAACTATTCTAAAGGCATTGGTGAGTGACAGGAGACAAGGGGTGGTTCCTGTGCTGGAGGCAGAAGGGAGAGGCTGGGAGGCTAGAAGAGAGAAGATCAGCTAGGAGGCCATGACAGTCAGATCACTACTGAAAGCTAAGTAGTGTTCTTCTGCCTGCCACATTGTGTCCAGCCACCACCAGCCCTTCTTTTCAAGATTCTTTTTGGATTACCCCACCCCTACTCCCACACCTGAACCTCTGCCTCTTCTCCAAGTCTGGCCCCTGCAGAAGAAGCCAGGTTGTGACTGTGGCTTGGCTTTGCTCCTGTATTTCCCCTCCTCTGTACACATTCTGCATTTCACTTCCTTCAAGCCCCTGCTGAAGGCATACTTCCTCCAGAGGGTGTTCCCTGCCTGCCCTCCCCCATGCCTTTGTGGCCCTCGGATCCAGCATTGGTTCCTTGGTTATTGAACTTGTTCTTTTCTTTACTTTTCATTTTTGGAGGAGACTATCTATTTCTCTCAGAACTCTTCTAGTACCTAATGCTGGAGCTGGGCTTTTATAACAGTTACTCACATACTTCCTGATTATTGTTGGTAAACAACTGTTTTGTAAGTTGACTTTTTTTTTAAAGGAGAAACTGTTAGAAGTCATCAGCCTTCTCTGTCATGGATAACTAAAAAATTCAAGGTGGATGTTTTCAGCTCTCATTCTTGGAATGCAGAAGGCACGAAATGAATATTTGAAATATTAAAATGTTACTCTTGATTATGGGAAAAGAAACATGTCATGTTGTTCTTCAGTTGGAGGCTGTGGGGAAGGAACATAAGCGTTGGAATCAGGCCCCAGTTTGCATCCCAGCAAGGCTACTTCTTGAACTTGAACAGTTTCTCAAATTGCTTTTTTTTTTTTTAATATGTAGCATGTGGAATAAAGTCCATTTCATAGGTTATTATGGGTTTTTAAATGAGAATGGTACACAAAGAGGTAGCAAAGTTGGTAGCACGCAGTAACTGATGCATTTGCATTATTATTAGGTGTAAATTTATCAAGGTGGAGGAATGCTAGGCTGCTGGACTGTGCGGGTCCACAGAGTGGTGAATTTCCGCTTTCCAGTTGAAGCACTTGTCAAAAATGTCAGTATGTTGAATCTAGAATGCCATCACTATGTTTTATTCCCATTAATTTTCATGTTACTTTAGTTTAAATTCTGCTTAATGTTTTTCATACTTAATTGTGTCCATTTAATGTTTTGTAGCTGACAAACTGCTGAAGTTAGTTTAGTGAAGGTCATCAACTGAATGCAGTTTAAGTTTCTAATGGTTATTTTCTGGTTGATGTTGATGACATGGAAAACCTCATGGAAGAATGCAATTCAAGGTGAGCTTTTCTAATCCTTTTGCCATAAGAGGCAGAATGTAATGTATTTTGTAGGTCCTGTGCCCCTGAAATGCCAGTAGTAAGCAGATAAGACGCTATTCCTTAGCATTTTTAGGTTGAGTTCTTTGCCCTAAGAAACCATATTCTTTTACCTGCAACAAATCCTTTAGTTCATGGTTAGAATCTGAAACATATAGCCAGGTGAGGTGATGCACATCTGTAGTTCCAGCTGAGGTATTCAGGAGGCTGCAGCAGGAGAACTGCTTGAGTCCAGGAGTTTGAGGACAGCCTGGGTAACATAGGAAGACCTTGTCTCAAAAAAAAACAAAAAAAAAACCCACAACATCTTTTTTTGCTTACTTTACTAGCAGTGCAAAGAGAGGACCTTTCACAGACAAATGACTACAAACCATTTGAAGTATGACATATTGTGACTCCTTAATTATTACCGTGTTATTATATCCTTAAATGTTTCTCTTTCCACTTGAAATTGGTCAGTAAGAATCCAGCACCAAAAACTCTCCTGCATCTCACCAGTATGCCTGGATTAAAGTCTTATTCTTACAGGAAGAGTTCTGACTCTGGAGCTGACAAATGTAGGTTCATATCCTGGCCTAGCCAAGTCATTAGCTGAGTGACCTTGGAAAAGTTTCTTAGTCTCTTGAGTTCATTTCCTCATGTGCACAATGAGGATAATTGTAACATCTGTCTCCCTGTAGTCAGGAAGATTTAGTGCTTGTTTAGCACACTGTACATAGTAGGAGCTCAATAGTTGGTAGTCTTTAGTATTGCTAGTAAAGTTAAAGGCCATTGCTTTTTCCTGCTTAGAAAGCTCAGAAGCTGCCTCTGATGTTTTTGCATCGGCTAAGACAAATCCACCCTCAAAATTAGTATATCTGAGCAGACCTGGAGAATGTTAACGCCTTGGTCGGAAATGTAACAGTTTGGATAAAAATGTTCTCTCCGGCTCACATGAATTAATGCAGTAAGAACTCTAAACTTGTTTTCCTTTAAATTAGGATGAGTGCTTCATGAATATCCATCACAGAATGCCATTTTCTTTATTTTATTTTTTTTTTCCCTGCTCTGGGTTTCAGCAGCACCAGAATGTTTTGTGCAGCCTTGGTGCTCTTCGGCGGCTGCTGCTTTCCAAAGGATTAGATTGTAGCTCATGACAGCTCCATTTTAGTTTTGATCTAGACCCAGGCAGAAATATCTAGAAAAGTTATTTTTATAGAGTTGTTACTGCTGTTACCATGCCTTTCGTCTCCAGTGCCTCAATCTGTGGTCTTTTTAATGACTTTTTGTATGAGTGAAAATGAGGGATCTTTAGTACCTGATGGAGAAAGGCTTGTTTGAGCTGTGTCTCAGGTGTCAACGAATGAGTGAAACTGGCAGGTGCAAAAATTGGGTTTAGAATCAGGAGTATCTTGACTGAGAATAATCGGTACCTCCTGGTGCCTTACATTACTTCCAAATTTGTAAACTTACTTTCCTTTCTTGGCTGCGTAGCTGGGTATTTTTGCAGGAATTGTAGCATCTCGTGAAGCATCTCATGTTTCTAGGTTAGGTGGGAATAAGCCCCCTTGCTAGATTTTGCCTCCTGCCACAGACTAGCTTGTACCTCAAGGGTCTTCAGCAGGAAAAATTGAGAGCTGAGGATTCAGCTTGGGTTAGATTGTGCCAGGTGACCCATGCTCACTCCCTGTCCTCAGAGAGCTCACCTGAGCGTGGGAAAGCTCTGGCTCACATCTCACAAAGTGAGCACAACTCCAGTGCTTAGTCTTTATCTGCCACTGTAGTTCTGGTTGTCATTATGGAGAGATGATTCTGGGACTTTATCCAAGAACACTGTAAAAGGGATTTCAAGGCCTGGGTGGGTGTTTTGCCCAGGTGACATTTAAGAGTCCTTTTTCATCTGTAGGTTCCCTGCAGCATGATCAGCAGTGTGAGAGGACATGACTAGTTTTTCATTGTTTAGTTGCCTCACATTTAACAGAATGTGTGGTGCCCACTTTTACTTATAGCATATTCAAGGAAATGCCGTTTTAGCAGAGGACCATGTGTGCTTGTTATTTCTTTCATTAGCTGCTCTGTTATGGCACTGCTTTTACAAGGAGCGAGTGCCTTTTTGTGTTCTCAGTTCTCGTCCATTTTCTCTCCCCGAGAACCTCATCTTACTGTCACCATCGTCAATACAATTTTTGGTCACTCCCCCGATCAGTATCTGTTTTTCTCCCTCTCCTATCACATACCTCCCAATCCTCAGTGGGCAACCTAAACTCAGCTTGTCCTGGCTGAACTAAAACTTGTCCCCTCAGAGTGGATGTCATCCCTCACTCTCCAAGTCCTGTCCATTGCTCCTTTGGGTACCTGTTCACAGTAGCTGCCCAAGAGTTCCATTGGCATTCTCTAACTGAGTGCTCCACGGCCTCCATACTGTTGTTCTCCTGCCATGTCCTTTCTTGCCCTGGGTCTTGGCCATTCATGCAGCTCACTGCATCACAGGCCTCATCCGCCTATACTGCTCCTGCTGTTCCTTCTGTCTGGAGTGTTCTTTTTGTTCCCTTTGAAGTGCAAGAACCTGGTCAAAAATATCTTCTACCATGAAGTTTTTCTTTGTTCTATTTTGATTTTTTAAAAACCTTTTTGGTCAAAAGTAATCAGTCTTGTCATTGTACCTCATAGCTCTTTGTTTCTGCCTCTATAATTATCTGCTTGATATAATAATTACCCATTTGCAGCCTATCTTTCTTGAATTTTTTTGGTTTAAAAAATGCATATATTTAAGTAGGAACCCACATCTTAAACTTTTAGTGAGAATAATATGGCTATGTGATTAAAAAATTCAAAAGGTTTAAATTATTTTTTCTCTCTCTCCAGCCTTTAGGCCTTCTTCCTAAAAGTAACTGCTGTTAACAGTTCATGGGATTCCATTCACAATGGATACAGCAGCACATACATTTGACCCTTGAAAAATACAGAATTGAATCCAGGCACCAGTGGCTCACACCTGTAATCCTAGCTACTTAGGAGGTAGAGATCAGGAGGATTGTGGTTCAAAGCCAGCCTGGGCAAATAGTTCGTGAGACCCTATCTCAAAAATACCTACTACAAAAATAGGACTGGTGGAGTGGTTCAAGGTGAAGGCCCAGAGGTCAAGCCCCAGTACCGCAAAAAGAAAAAAAAAAAAAAAATTACTGATGTGAGCTGCATGGGTCCAGTTATACATGGACTTTTTTTTTTTTTTTGAGATAGTTTGTAAAACCTCAGAAACCATGTAGCTTAGAAATATGGAAAATTTTAAGGAAAAGATACATCATGAATTCGTAAATATATGTGGATAATAACCTATTTTGTCATTTATTACTATAAATATACACAAATTTATTGCATGAAGTTAAAATTTATCAAAATGTATGCACACAAACACAATATGTGGTGCCATTTCCAGATGAGAAAAAAGTAAACAAAACAAAAGGTAAAGACAGTGTTAAATCCTGACTGCGTTAAGCGAGCTGGTAAACCCCATGCGATGGTGATGACACCGTGAGCCACCTCCCATGTGATGCTCATCCTTTGCACAGCTCTCTAGTAAATGGCATGGAACGGTAAAAAGTGATCTGTGGAGGTTGCATGTGGTTTCCATAGTATCTAATATGTGTAACATACCAACTGTGTGTAAGTTGACTGCTAATATTATTGGTAAGCTTTTGGCCAACAGCAGACTATGAGTATGTAAATTTAGGGGCCTCAAAAGTGGCATGTGGATTTTTGACTGTATGTTGGGGGGATAGTCAACACTCCTAACCCCTACATCCTTCAGGAGACAACTGTAGTTATTCTTTTGAGAAATGTGCATGAAGGAAATCACATGTACATGTACATTGTTCTGTATCTTGCTATTCTTAGCTAAATCTTAGAGTTCTTTCCATATCAAAGCATACATGCCAGGTGCTGATGGCTCATAACTGTGATCCTTGCTACTAAGGAGGCAGAGATCAGGAGGACCAAAGTTCCAGGACAGTTCAGGCAAAAAATTCTTGTGACCCATTTCAACAGGTCCACACCTGGTAGGCACCTGTCACATTCCAGCTACTGGAGGAAGCAGTCCTATCTCAAAAATAATCAGAGCAGAAGGGCTGGAGATGTGGCTGAAGTAGGAGAGCACCTGTTTAGCAAGCGTGAAGCCATGAGTTCAAGCCCTACTACTGCCAAAGCAACAACACATACAAATTTATCTTTTCTTTTTTAATGGCTGCATTGTATTTCATTATAGATTTATTTTCTTCTGGTTTTTGATTTTTGAAACAGGCTGGCCTCAAACTCCTGAGCTCAAATGATTCTCCTGCCTCAGCCTCCCATGTACCTGGGACTGGATGCTGTAAAATCCAGGTTTTTGTTTTCTTAACCAGTCTGCTTTTGGAAACTTTGTTTCTGGCTATAGTGAAGAAAAATGCTAAGTAGACCTCCTTGTGACATATATCTTGACATACTTTTGTGTGTGTGTGGTTTTGGGGATTGAACCCAGGGCCTCGAGCATGTGCTCTATCACTTGAGCCACAGTCCCAGCTCTTCCTGACATACTTTTGTAAGTATTACATTTTTTGTAAGCTCAATTCTTAGCACTACTTGTAGACCAAAAGGAAAATGCTTTTTACATGTTGATGGATATTACTGAATTATCCTTCAGGATATTTGCCAGATCTTTAAAAATATGCACAAACCTGATGGGTTAAAAACGGTGTCTCTTGGGCTGGGGTATAGGTCAGTGGTAGAGCACTTGTCTAGCATGTGCAAGGCCCTTGGGTTTGATCCCCAGCACTGTAAGAAAAACCAAAAAAATCTTTTCATAATCCAAATATCTTTAATCATGAATAAAGTTAAAATACCTTTTCATGGTCTTTTGGTTTTTTTTTTCTGGATTTTTTTAAACTATGTATCTTAGGCCCATTGTTCAATGGAGTATTTTTTGTGTTGGTCCAGTTTAATTTAAAATT